CCAATGTAACTCAGCAGCAGTGACCTCGAGCTTAGTGACCTCGAGGTGGGTTTTGAACAATAAGAACAAGTAAGCAAGAAAAGTAAAGTAAGAGCAGTAGAGCTAAATGACAATTCTGATGAACAGTAGGCAAAAAGTAGAGAGTATATTCTTTGCTCAATGATTAGATGATGTTACAAATGATTGGGGTCCCCTTTATATAATAGGGAACCCTAAATAAGGAATATTTCTATTTACAGTAAGGAATATTCTTTATACAGCTGTCTAACCGCCTAGTACGGAATAGTACAATCCTATTCCAGGATTTGCGCCGAGATCTTGGGAACGTGGCAGGAACATCGCATATTCTGTTACAAGTCCATAACGGTACTATTTCGGGGTCGAGCGTACTCGGCCTCGGTACGCATCGTGCTCAATCATCAAACTCGGGTCTGGTCCTTCGAGCTCGAACTCGACCTCGCCTGAACTCGGTCCCTTAAGCATATAATCGGAGGCATGCAATTATGACCGTATACAATTGGCACCTCTAGTTCCGAAGGAGGTATTTTCTTCCATGACAAATGTGTCACTACCTTCCATGCTCATGTAATTAGGTGAGATACAGATGAATGTACATTTTGACATTTTTAATAACTCGATCGATCAAAATTTAATCAATCGTGGTGGAATTCTTGTTATGATAGTGGTGGCTGAGCCAGTTTGCCCACATCTCGAATGTTCATTGGGTATTTGCTACCTCTAATACAGGTACCGAGTTACTGTACCTACCAAGAATTATTGCACAAATTTGAGTTTTGATCTGTCACAACTCGGAATTCTCACCTTCGGGACCGTGATGGTGCCTAACATTTCACTTGCTAGACAAGCCAACGTTAGAGAACCGTTAACTCAATTTTTGTTCAATTTCAATAAATAAAGTCGATTGAGCCAAAATGAATTAAAATCGAGTTCGGAATAACACAAAAGCCCAATAACTACTACAATACGGATCTGGAGTCACAACTCACGAGCTTCTGTATTTTACTACAAATAGAGTCTGAAAGAAATACAACTGTTTTGAAAGAAAAGAAACAGTGAAATAAGAAAAATAGAAGGGGACTTCAAGGTCTGCGGACGCCAGCAGATCTATCTCGAGTCTCCGAACGAGCAAATTCAAGCTGCTCCAACTCACGAACCGCTAGGGCCGGTACCAAAATCTGCACAAGAAGTGGAGAGTGTAGTATGAGTACAACTGACCCCATGTACTCGTAATTGTCGAGCATAACCTCAACGAAGTAGTGACGAGGCTATGACAAGATACCTACATGATAAACCTGTGCAGATAACAATATATGTACAAAATTACGACAAATAAAGGCTACACATGTACTATTGGGAGGGGAACATGCTAAGGGGATACAAGATACAAGAGATACAGCGGAAAAGATAACCAGAACAGTCAATATGCCTTTAACCGGAAAAAATAACAATTAAGCACAATGAAGAAAATTGCACGGCATCACCCTTCGTGCTTTTTCTCTCATCCTCACAATGAAACAATGATAATGCACGGCATCACCCTTTCTGCTTTTACCCTCACTCACAGTATAGATCAGTAGATCCGGCACGTCATCACCCTTCGTGCAATAACTCTCATAACATGGTACGATATCAATCTTCGTGCATTAGTACTCACAATATGGCATGGCATCACACTTCGTGCATTAACACTCACATATGACACGGCATCACCCTTCGTGTATTAACACTCACATATGGCACGGCATCACCTTCGTGCATTAACACTCTCCCTTACCACATAACAATGAACAAGTAATAATAGGGATATAGCATCAATAAGTATAAGCCTTACTTAAACAACGGTTTCACAATACCAATCTCAACTTGAAATCAATACTCAATTATCACCAAAGCCCATAAACATGATAAGAACGATCAATTTAAGAATTAACTAGTCTAAGCATGGATAACAAGATCAAGGAAAGCAATAATTGCAAAGAACAAGTCTCACCAGCATGCTATAACCCGATAACAACGCATAAGTACTCGTCACCTCACATATACGGTGTACCCAACATCTAAACATGTAGCAAATAGACGAACAAGTACTAATCCCTCAAGTCAAGGTTAACCACGACACTTACCTCGCTCCAAAGGATCAATTCAAAGCTCAACCACGGCTTTGCCTTTTAAACAAGCTTCCGAACCAATAGAATCTATCAAATTGCCAACCAAACGATTCAAATTCAGCCTTAGGAACTACCCACAATTGCAAAGAATTTAATTTAGGTCATTATTGAAAAAGTCAACTCCCGGGCCCGCTTGGTCCAAACTCGAAATTCGGACCAAAACCCGATTACCCATTCACCCCCGAGCCCGGTTATATAATTTGTTTTGGAATCCGATTTCAATTTGAGGTCTAATCCCAGTTTCACAAAAATCCCTAATTCTACCCTAACCCACAATTTCCACCATGAAAACACTAGATTTTAGGTTGAAATCTTAAAAAAAATAGTGAAAGATTGAAAGAAAATGGATTAGAATCACTCACCAATGATTTTGGGAAGAAGAGCTCTTTGAAAAATCGCCTCTAGGGTTTACTTGTTTTGAAATTTGAAGAATGAACAAAAATCTCATCTAACTCCCATTTTGATCAGTTGCAGATGTCGGATTTGTGATTTGCGAACCCCGCAAATGCAAAGAAACCATCGGAAATGCGAAGTCCTTCCCATCTATGATTTCATCGCATTTGCAATGACTTGTTCGCAAATGCGAACTTTGACCTTCCGCAAATGCGACCAATTGATCGCAATTGCGATCACTGTACCCCTTTGTCCCTATAGACAATAAATTTGCGTCAAGAAAATAAAATCAAGACCGAAAAATATCGCAACAATTGTAGTATTTTATTTCAAATATTTGAGTGTTACAATTTCTATGAATCCTCTGATTCTTCTTTCCAATTATAAATAAGTTCAAGGGCCTTTGAGCTTGATCTTGAATCTATGTTTGTTGCCACGAACGATGATCTTGAATTCAACTGGCATGAACTTTGATTTGAACTCGTACTCCTTGAACCTTGATTTGTTCTTCGTTCTTGAGCTTGAACTTGATTTGTTAAACTTAAACTTGATTGCTTGAAGCTTGAAACTTGTGGAGGAATTTGCGGTGTTTGATCCACGAGCTCTCTCTTGCTTCTTGTTATAACTTCTGGTCTTTTTTCTGGGTTATGAAGACCGCTATTTATAGTTGTGGAAAGGAGAAGTTGTGATTAGAACAAACTCTTTCCGACCAATCAAATTGAAGTGTGACATGGCCGCATGTGATTGGCCAGAACATGTCACTTGCACACGTGGCACGATTTCATCGGCCTTTTAGTGTGACTTAGCATGCCCTGTCATTTTGACACGTGGCATGATCCTATTGGCTCTTCCGTTTGACTTGGCGCGCCACATCATTTGACACGTGGCACCAAACTGGGCCTCTAGGAAGATGACATCTTGGACTTAATGAAGTGGGCTAATCACTTTAGCCCAATTAAATGGGCTAACCCAATTGATTAAGACTTATTTATTTAATCCAAATATATTGAACTTATATAATTAATTCAATTATATTAGCCCATAATATTTATTTGGACCTATATATCTTGAATTTAAAATATAATCCAAATTATTTTATGAATTTAATTTCAATAAAACTCATATGCCTACAGTCCCACTTCGCAAATGCGAAATATTGTTCGCAAATGCGAACATGAGGTGCCCCAGCTACTCTTTGCAAATGCGATGAGTAGCTCGCAAATGCGAATCCATCAATGGCCGCAACTGCGAAGCCTGACCTCGCAATTGCGAGGTCTGAGGCCTGCACCAAAAACTGAAGCACGCCAGCAATATTCTAAGTCAAATTTTCACTCCGTAGCCTATCTGAAACCCACCCGAGCCTTTGAGGCTCTAAACCAAATGTGCACACTAGTCTAGAAACATCATACAAACTTGCCCGCGCGATCAAATTGCCAAAACAACATCTAGAACTACGAATTAAGCATCAAATCAAAGGAAATTTTCAAGAAAACTCATGAACTTCTAATTTCACAATCGGACGTCCGAATCACATCAAACCAACTCCCTTTCTCAACAATTTTGACAGACAAATCATAAATATAGTATTGGACCTATACAGGGTTTCGAAACCAAAATACAAATCTGATATCCAAAAAGTCAAACATTGGTCGAATATTTAAATGACGTTCAAATTTCAACAAAGTGCGATAACTTGGGCTGGGGACTTCCGAATTCGATTCCGGGCATACGCCCAAGTCCCAATCACGATACGGACCCAGCGGGACCGTCAAAACACGAATCCGGGTCCGTTCGCTCAAAATGTTGACCGAAGTCAACTCAAATGGATTTTAAGGTAAAAAATTCATATTTTCTCGATTTTAAAAGCTTTCCGGAACACGCCCGGACTGCGCACACAAATCGAGAAGGGCGTTTAAGGTTTCAAAGCGCAGAATTAGGTTCTAAAACATAAGATGACCAATCACATGATCTAGTCGTGGCCGCATGCAAGTTCAAGTGAGAAACTCAAATTGTTGGAAGCTAGAATAATGGGCTCATGCTTCATGATAGTTTCCAAGAATTGAAGTGGTGATGAGGAGAAGCATGATATACCAGTTAATACTTAGCACTAGAATCCAACTAGTCCTTCATTTGAAGCTTGGAATTACCAGAAATAGTATACTAGTATTACGTAGCATTGTGTAGCAATTTGTGGGAATATTCTCCAGGTAATGTAGTGTACATAAAGCTAGTTAAAAGATTAAGAGATACTAAAAGTTTGCCAAACGAAAAGCATAGAAGATGCATGCCACTAACAGTATGTGCAAAAAGTTAATCAGATTTCTGTATAGCAGCGGGTTCAGAAAGCTAGCTGCAAAGTGCAAACTCTATGCTCAAGAAATTCTTTTCTTTTCTTTCCCTCTTTCCCTAGTTTCTTGGCCACTAAGCTTAGTACCTGAGCAGACTTATTTAAGCTTATTGCTGGCTAATATATGATTTAGAAAGCCACATTTCCCAATATTTCTGCAAGCATGACTTCTTATTCATCTGATTCTGATAATGATTTTGCACCAAAATCAAAACTTTTGGGCCGCCAAAGGCCTATTCATTCTGTTCTAGGAGGAGGAAGAGGTATCAAAATATCAAGAAATTGCTAACATTTCACTTTTTTTATTCTGTGATTGGTTAATTACTAAAATATTTTTAAGTGCAGTTGCGGACATATTGTTATGGAGAGACAAGAGATTTTCTGCAGCAATTCTAATTGCAGTTGCAGTAATGTGGTTTCTTTTTGAGGTTGTGGATTATACCTTCGTGACTCTCCTCTGTCATGTCTCCATCACCACTATGTTAATAGTCTTCATTTGGTCTGCTGGTGCAGATATCTTTGGCTGGTATTCTTCTTATTTTCCCTTCCTCTATGTGTGTGTGTGTATATGTACATCTATATGCAACCTCTCCCCTCCCCTATGGGTTCACCCCTGAGTCTAATGCCTCAACGGCCTTTTAAGCGCCTCTCACAACGGACTCGACACCAGTGGGGCGGGATTGGTCATCTTCTAGCTTACTGTGCTAGTTGTAGTGTGTAGTGTACTAGTGAATAGAAAAAACGGATTGAGAATACTAATGACGGATGGACGTATATATATACACACAGAAGCGGATCCATGATTAAATTTAATAAGTTCAATCGTTAAGTTCTTACTACTGAACCTATTACACTTTAGAAATTATGGGTTCAGAATTTAATGCTTATCAAAAATGTTGTGACTTTTTGCTTATATATCTATGTTCTGCCTTAGTATATACATATGATTTGTTGATTCATATAACATGTTCAGGACACCTCCAAGTATTCCAAAAGACATATTACAAGATACTACATTTGAAGATGTTGCTTCAATCTTACACAAGAAGTTCAACAATTTCCTCTCCATATTTCACTTTGTCGCATGTGGAAATGATGCAAAGCTCTTCTTTCTGGTATTATGGATCAATTCAGCCAAATAAATTACTAATTCATGTCCTTCATTTCAATGGATTTTATAATTATCTACTCCATTTTTTTATGTTTTAGGCCATCATTTCTCTATATATACTCTCAGTATTTGGAAACTATATCAGCACCTTGAACCTTTTGTTTTTTGGTAAGATTACTTACTTAGCTATTTTTCATTCTTCTATTAGTAACATTATTTATTACTCTCTCAATTTTTAAAACTTTCTGTGAATATTGTCTACAAGGTTTGCTTTGTGTGGAAACTCTCCCATTCCTTTATGAGAAATATGAAGAAGAAGTCGACGATATTGCATATAAATTGAAGAGGCAGATGAGAAAAATGTGCAGGAAGTTTAATGCAGATTTTCTGGGAAAAATACCCAGAGGGACATCCAAAGAAAGAAAGCAGAAATAGGATGAATTAAGTACAAAATTTAAATGTGGACTACTCTTGTTTTCTTGGACATCCAAAATAATAAATTTGCAATATGATCATCAATATACATGATAATTAAGTAATATAATAGTACATCTTGTGAAATGTATTTCCAGAACTGGTCAAAATGTCAATGATGTGAAGGAAAAAAAGGAAATTAGAACAAAGAGTTCTACCTATGGATAAGAATTGGCAACAACAGTGAATGATACACAAACGATTGAATTCAATTTCTGGCAAAGGAACAAATTAAAAGTAGGATGACTAATAATAGATTATGTAAAACCATAAATTCAGAATACCCCTTAAGGCTCTAGTGGTAAGAGCGCAATGCAAGATGTGTGGGTTAGCAAGGGCGGATCCAGACGGATTCGTCTGGACCTAGTACTTTCAGTGCGGATTATAAATTTATGTGTAAAAATTCACAAAAATTACAACATATAGTAAATATGAATACATACCTTTAAAAATACAATGGATTCAAAGCTAAAAATCGTAAAAGTTGAACCCATAGAGTTTAAATTTTATATCCGTCTCTATGGGTTAGTCACGAGTTGAAACCCTAACGCGCAGATAAGTCTGGTACTTACCGCGTGGAGAAGGTTAATAGAAAGGCATGTTCATTATCCATCGAGTTTAGCACCACACACCATCAGGACGGAGTTACTTTTGACATTATGAGTTTGGCTGAACCTAGTAACGTTGCCCTAAAAATAATATGTCCACTAAAACATGGTGAATTTATGATATATATACAGGAGAGGTTGTGATGTGTTTTTTCTTATTCCAACCACTCAACGTTGTGGTACTATTTTGACATTAAGAAGAGATCTACTATAGGCAAATTTTTTTTTTTTTGGGTTTCCCACCCGGTGTCCGGCATCCGCATCGGAGCCCGATTATATTCGGATTCGGGCCGCGTAGGGCCCCATTCGGGGGGAAGCGCTCCCTACCAAGGATTTTTCTATACCCAGGGCTCGAACCCGAGACCTCTGGTTAAGGGAAGAGCAGTCTCATCCACTGCACCACATCCTTCGGTGGTACTATAGGCACATTTACTAGCACTATGAGAGAAATAGAAAAAGAGAACTTTAATACTTCCAAAAAGTTTGTCTGTCCTTTGTGGAAACAGCCATGTTAGTTGGAGTATTAGATCAACCTCAACAACCAGAGAAAAAGATTGTTCTCTTTTAGTTAAATGCACTAAATTATTGCACTAATTTATTCTTCCACTAATCTAACCTAGTGAATGCTGGCTTTTATACTAATTACAACCTACCCAAGATGAGAATTAGCAAAATTTAGAATTAAATATTCTAATTTGATGCAACTCCAGTACTTACTGTATGATTAATTGGGCAAGAAATACTAAACATCATTTAGCTGCACTATAGAAGACCGAAAATCACATGGAGTCAAGTTATCTCAATGGATTTCCGATCTTTCAAAATCAACGCAAACTTAATCAAAGCAAAGTATTCATATAGGCAATACAAATTAATTAAATTTTAAGTATTATCCTTAAGTTTGCTAAGAAAGTGGGAGATTTGATTTAAACCGTCCAAATAAAGCAGAATAAATATAGAAAATTTATATAGTCGACTCTAGTTAATTTGGGGGAAAATAAGAAATAGCCAAATTTACTACTACTAATAATTGAAAAATAGACACAGTTTTAAAAGTAATTGAAATTTAGCCACTTTTTTATGTAAAGATATAATTGGAACAAAACACCCTTAAAAATTCAAAAAAAATTCAGCATAATATACTAAAGTTCGAATTTTTTTGCATATGAGATTCCAGTAATAATATGCTGGAATTTCATAATGTGTTGGATGTCTAACATAATATGCGGGAAATTTAAATGGAGGAGCTCCATAATCCAGCATATTATGCTGGAATTTTCCGTACTGGGGTTCCAACATAACATGCTGGAAGTTTATACGCATGAGCTCCATAATCCAGCATATTATGCTGGAATTTTCCGTACTGGAGTTCCAACATAACATGCTGGAAGTTTATACGCATGAGCTCCATAATCCAGCATATTATGCTGGAATTTTCCGTACTGGAGTTCCAACATAACATGCTGGAAGTTTATACGCATGAGCTCCATAATCCAGCATATTATGCTAGAACTTTCAGTGTTTCAGCAAAACAATGGCTATTTTTCAATGACTTAACAAACGCTTGCTATTTTTCGATTACCAATCCAAAAACTGGCTAGGCCGTGCTATTTTCAGACTTAATTTGGATTTGAGTTGTCACATTAATGGGCTTATAACTGTGATGCTATCTTTCTCACACATCATAGAAAGTGACAAAGTAGAGTGGGATCTGAAAACTCCAAATCTTGATAGTGGGCTGTGTTGACCCACCATCTTAAGTCTTGAAATAGAGAAACATCACATATATATATAAAGTTATGAAAAGTTTAGACATGACTTAGAGAGACATATTTAGCAAAGAAAAGAAGGGTCAATTTTAGTGAATTTGGCCTTTGGAACAACTATAAGTTCTCCTCCCCTGCCTTCACTTCCAAGAAAAAACAAGCAAAAAACCATCACACATAAAGATTGAAGAGAAAAGATGGCAAGGGAATTGAGGAGTTTGATTGATGGTGAAGACTTTGGTAATATTGGAACTAATATTTTGGTAACATTCTTGGGAATTTTGGCTGCGGTTTTCGTCGTAACGTTCATAATATTGTCATGTGCACAAGGGGCAGTGCCAAGAGATAAATCAGCAGCAGCAGAATCAAGTGCCTATGGAGGCGCCGGATGTGCAGCTGGCTGTGGTGGAGGATGTGGTGCTTGATACACAGCCGAATTTAAGAAAAGAATAGCAGTCTCAAATAATCAATGATGGGAAAGGAAAAAACACAACAAGCTTTACTCTCTTTCTGATGTTTTTTTCCTTTCTTTCTTTTTTCCTTTATACTCAAGTTACTACTCCAGCTGAACACAGGGGCAAGATCGAGAAAGTTGTGAATGAAGTGCTGTTATATGTTTGAGCTCAAGCACTCAAACTAAAGGTGACAGAAGAGGTGAATTCTGTATTTGCTGATTAGAAAAAAGAATGTTATAATAGAGCTCATGCTGTTTCTACAAGTATATATGTTGAGTTAATATATTTTAGCTAATGGCCACCAAAAATGTATAAATAACTGTAGGCTTCGGCTCTTTCAATAGATATCCTATGACCCTTGACATTATTTTTTGGGATTTGTGCTTCTTCAGTAATTCAAGTGCATTGTCAAGATGGCCGAGTTGGTCTAAGGCGCCACTTTCAGGGACTGGTCCGAAAGGGCATGGTTTGCTTGTATTTTTGGGATCTCTTTCCCAATTTTATTTTAATTTGGAATATACTATTCAACAAATAATCTGAGGTATGCAAAATCTATCCAGACAAGTACAAACAGGATTTTGATCACTCTGCATTTCAAAAAAAATAAAAATACAAAACCCAACGAAGAAGAAGTACTTCTTCTTTGGGTTTAACCATCATTGCTAGTTTTGCAAACAGAAACAACTATTACCCAAATCCACCACAGAGGCCACTTGAAGAGGTTGGTTGCCTTAATGGTCTTCACAGACTATTCTGAGCATCCGTCTCCATATGACCATATTGAATGGAACTCATTGCGTCTAACCAGTGGCGGAGCTAGAATTTTCCCTAAGGGGGTCAAAATATAAAGGAGTAAACCTACGAAGAAGCCATGAGGAGTCAATATATAGTATATATACAAACAAAAAAATTATCTAACTACAAAGTGTAATTCTCCGACGAAGGGCTATCAATTGACACCCCTTGAATACATGTGGCTCCGCCACTATGTCTAACATAGACTCGGTGTGTGTCAGAAAAAATTGGCACATACATAAACAGCAGAATTCACTGGCTCTATGGGGCGGAAAAAGACATATAATAGGCATGAGGTACATGCAAAATCCATCAAGTGGTGGCCGCTGCAGGCGGTCGCCACCGGTGGTTGATCATGGAAAGGACGAGGAGAATGATGAGGAGAACTAGGAGGAGAAGGCAGATGTGAAGAGAACCTTAATAAATATCATGCTGATGCAAGGAAGATGAACAAAATTAGCTACCACAAAGGAATATTTTCGATTTGTCCCAAGTTGTATGGCTATCTTGTTAATTATTTGAGGTGAGAAGTCATAATGATATGTGGAATAATGAGCATAGATAATACTCCAGTATTTAACTTCATGTCCTTACTAAGGCTGTTACTTTCTCTTGAGTACATCCAGTTCCCTTCTTCTAATCGCAGATTGATCCTAGATCAGATTTATTTATCTCTGTACTTTTTCACCACTATTCTCTAGTCAGTTGCTTAGTGGGGAACATAATTGCTGATCCGCTCCATGAGTTAGATTTATCATGGACGCGCAGCTTGAAGAGAGTTCGCTATATCTGGGTGGAATATTGGGGAGATTTTTCATGTCACTGACCAGGATATAGATTGGGAACCAAATCAGCGATTTCTTAGCGTAGTATAATCTGGGAAAGATATGGATCTGACTACATACAAATAGCATAACCATCTAGACATATCAGTATGAACGCACATGACAACATTTCAAATGCACAAGGTACACAGGCACTACAGGTATCTGGCAATTTGTCAAAGTGCATACAAGCTGGAACGAACATCACTATTATCAATAATGAAAATATCATTACAGCAGTTAACAGACTGGTGGCTCAGGTAGTCAAGATCCGAAAACACACTACATTTAATTGCTAATCTTGTTAAAGTGAAAAATGGTCTAGGTTTCACATGTAATTCTCCAGTACCAAAAAGTAGATGCCTACAGGCATGATCAGCTTCAAAAATATAACTTATACAGCAACTAGATGATAATTCAGTTTCAAGTTCTTCACTGACACCACTTGGATCATCAATGATCATTCCATCAGCACCAGAGATACCAGAACCCTCTACAAGTAATTAACAAAGCTTTAATCTATGATCTCCCACTCAACTTGTATCTTGAAACTGAGAAGGGTGATCTCTTTACTGGATACCACTTTGGTAGCAATATGAATTCCATTATTCCCAAGTGCACGACCTGTTCAGGAAGGATCCAACTGAAAATGAAGTTCGCAACTAACAAAATAACTAAAAAGCAGGACACAACAACACCAAACTAAGAAAAATCACATCCCAAACAAAAAGTACCACAGTTCACACCCCGCAGCCTAGATTAGCAGACAACTTATAGGGCTTTGAGAACTAGAACATAGATGGCAAAAGCAGCTTGAAAAAGTTTGGAGTTGGACTACTATTCTCTCAAAGAAGAAACTCATTTTAATTTCCTTTTCTTCCGGCGGAGGG